AAAGAGTTTTGAAAACGGAAAGAATGATAATTATGCCGGCCCAGCATCATCAACATTGAAAAATGCCCCGGCATGAAGTGGTTAAAGCACGCCAAGGTGCATAGTCTTTAACTTGTTATGAACTTTTGTGATCATTTGGTAGTCTCGTTAGAGATAATACTGGGACATGTGCCAGGGTAAACGTTGAAACTTACTCGTAACTTATCCTAAAGAGCCTGTTTCAGCTTCATATGCACAAATGTTGCAAGTCCCAATTGCTACATGGCTATGTATTCCTGAGAGGTAAATGGTGAAGGCTGCACTGATTTAGAAATCATTTATAAACCTTGAAGATATAAGAACAGATGCTGACAGGTGCTTACATTTTTCACCATCTGAACAGTTTGGGGTCTTATGTACTTTTGACATTTATCCACGGGGAGCTACATGTGCCAAAATACTCTGGCCAACTGTTCAGCGAGTGATTAAAAAACGGCAGTGATATCCCCACTTCCTCACTTTTTTGGTACTTTGCCATCATCTAAAATAAACAAAAGAGCCACTACATTCCAAGAAGTGCAGAGGTTCGGGGGAGGGAGGGTTTCTTCAAACCATCCTTTTGAGAAACATGAGTCATTTTTTCCTCGTGCCGTGTTCTCCAGCACGTTCAACTCACCTCCCCCATCTTTGTGTACCTTTCATGTATCTAGGTCATTGCCATAGCAACCACTTTCAGTGCAACGCTGTTATTACTCACTCGTCTGTGCTGTGTGACGCATACTGCATATAGCAACCTGAGAGAATATAGGCAACGAAAGTCGTGCAATGCACAGATAAGAACCAGATCTGGGCATTGAACTGTTTCTAATGAAATCAATTATTGTTTTTCCTGCATTTTGGGGTGGGAAAGTGAGAACCTTAAAGGTGGGGGCTTGAAAAGTAGACTTTGAAAGTAACAGAAATCTGTGTTGTTGGCATCTCCATGGTGTCTCAGGGGCTCTTTTTGTTATCTTAATTTAATTGCAAAAGAAGCACAGTAGGTTAACTCGAGCCTATCCCAGCGATACAAAGCTCTTGCCCTCTGAGGACATGTTAACGTATAACCTCTGTAAGATGCTTCCAAAGACATCTCCAACTCTTATGTGATGTCCATGCAACTAAAAGTTGAAAAAGGGCAAGACTGGGAAAAGAAATGTTGATAGCTGGAGGGATGCAGCATGTTTGATAATTTATTGTAGGTTACAGAATGAAGATCTTTTCAACATTAACGAGGATTTTGGAGGATTCAGTGCCCAACATTTATGTAAGGAAGGTCAGGCACATGTATGTAAAACTCAAAATTCCATTTGTTGGCCCCAAACTTGTAAAATATCATGCAGAACTTCAATGGTTCAGATTCTTTTATTGCCTAATCACTCCTCCAAGTGGTAGGAGAGTTGTGGTGGCCATTTCCAGGGGTGAATTTGGAGGAAAATGAATTATCCACGAAATAATCATCAAAGGGTTTGATCACGGCCCCACAGGGCATTCCTTCAAATCAACGGTAACAGACTGGCCTAAACCTCATTGAATGGACCTTGAGCCGGACCAAGAGAGGGCGCTATTTTCTTAGAAACGGAATATAAAAGAAATCAACATAAAGGTAAACTTAGGATTTTTCACTTCTGAAAAGAGATTGCTTGAAACATCCTGAAATCAGGAAAATCGTGATAAAATAAATCCCGCAATCAGGAAAAATCGTGACAAATCTCAACCCCTACATTTCAGATATTCATAACTGTCCAGCTCATGATCAAGTGAAACTCAATATCACGATCTTACACATGGAAAGTGATCCCTTCACTTGGCAAACTGTCAATAAAGGTTACCTTCCTGTTCAGCACTGAAGGGTTACGCCGGCAGGGCTTAGGGTGAACGTGCTTTCAGAGGGGTTACCCAAAAGGGCGGTACCACCATAAAATTGGAGGGCTGGGTCTGTGGGCAGTCACGGGACACACATATTTTCTACATGTAGGTTGAGTGGGGCATTACAGGTCTGACAGCTAAAATTCAATTTTAAAACAACAAATGCCACAACACTGGCACTGGAAGATGCAACAATAACTAGACTAGAATTTGCCATTATATGCAAATCATTCCTAAAACAAATAACTGTGAAAAAATTATATATTTGAAAGAATGCTTGGCATTCCCGTGTCAAAGTTAATCAATGGTACTGGGGGCGGGGCTTGCTATTTTGGGGGATAAGTTACATGGACAAAGAAAAGGGAGGAGAAAAGAATCTGCAACTTACATGACATATTGGTCTCTCAGCTTCCGTAGGTCGAGGATGAGGGGTTTGATACTGTTCATGGTCCGGTCTCGTTCTCGGTTGGCGTCCACCTCTGCCTTGAGCTCTTCCTCCAGGGCCTTGCGCATGGCGACAATCTCAGCCAGCCGCTGCTGTAGCAGCCGGAAGTTCTCCATCAGCTGTTCACGTTCCTGGGGGAGACAGTCCTTGTGATAACGCTCATGGAGTTCCTGCTGCTCGGTGAAGACGATGACCGTCTCGTTGAATGCCTCCAGGGCCTGACGCTTCTGCTGGATGTTCTGGGGAGGGGGGTGGATGCAGAAGAGAGGAGTAACAGACTGACCTAAACTTCATTGAATGGACCTTGAGCCGACCCAAGAGAGGGCGCTATTTTCTTAGCAACGGAGGCTCTCTTGGTCCGAACTGAACTTTGCTGGTTCACAAACAGCTAGGAAATGCATGCATCACAGTCGTATCGCTACCAACAGTTGAACACTCCCAACCAATGCGGCTCTTTCCAACCGATGAGAGGGTGCTTCTGCTCAGGGTGGATTGTTGTGCAAACTATAAAGCCACGTTCGAATCACTTGGCTGTGGCTTGAAATTACACACGACTCTATGGGGACTGGCTGTAGCCACTACCATAAACTCATGAGTGACTTCACAGCGTCATCAACTGTCCTACACAGACCTTACGCTGATCAATTAACTGGCTTACCTGCAGTGATTTACTGTATTCTTCGTACAACTCGTCATATTGCCGTGTCTTCTCAAGATATTCCTTGTTCTTATCCTTCAGTTTGTTGATGACTATGTCAATGTTGCTTTCAGGCATGTCCTCAACAAACTACAAGAAAAGAAACGACTTGTGAGAACAGGAATTATGCACAATCTTTATAATCAAAAGAACCCTGAACCTCATTGGCAAAGAACTCAGGAATTTGGATGTGAACTTGGCGGACTTACTGCATCTTTCTTGGAGACGGGATTGGTCAGTTTGATGTCCAGTTTGGCGTTGTACTGAGCGAGTGGCACGTGGCGGTAGTGTTTGATCAATTCTACCACTGATGTGAAGCGCAAGGGTTCTGAGAAACCATACAGGCCGTTGCGATGACAGATCTTGATGAGTTTATTACTGCCGCCCTTCCTGTAATCCAAATCAACAAATTTTTCAAAGTTTTGCGAGAATTCTCCAATTTTTTGGCCTTGAGTCAACAAGGGCAGAACTAACCGTAAAATAGCTCTTTTGTTTGTTCTATGTCCTTATTTGGAGAAATATTCACATTTATGAAAAAAATTCCAAAATTTGATAAGCATCAAAATAGTTTAAAATGTTTCATTCCACAAAACTATCTGAATATTGGCAATCAAGACAAAGATTTCTTTGTAAATTATCAATTCAAAAAATCAAAAAATGTTGACAACTGTTTTATCTTTTAAAATATCTGAACACTGGCCCTCAAGAAATTGATTTAAAAAAAAAAGGAGCACTCTGAAAATTTAAAGTACAAGGCAAAAGTTAGAGCAGTACCTGAGAGTTAGAGTGAAGTCACCAGTCTCCTGTTTGTTGGAGGCATCTCGGACGAGGAACGTTCCATCAGGCATGTCCTTCATCTTTTCATTGACGTCCTCCCTAGAACAAGAGAGAAAGGCCAGCAGACATTTTGATGAGGTTGAAGCCAAGAAAAAGCAACCAAACACAACTATTCTAAGTTTCAAAGTTTGGGGAAGGCTGACTTAAAATTATAAAAAAGACAACTGTTCTACGACTCAAACTCAACAACCCACAGCCACAAAATACTGCCAAGCCAGATAAGAGCTTTTAGAGTTTGTTATGGCTTTTGTCGGTCCGACCTTGCATATTTCCAATCGGTCAATGCCTACAGCTTGCACAAGACAACAGACTGAGCTGAGGCCAAAGACCAAGGCTAATTATCTGGAGATATGAAATCCATTGATTGACATACTTTGATATATCACCCCAATACCAATCTGCTTCCTCCAACGTTCTAGGTTCCATCACTCCAGAATTCACATAGTCGCTGCTCGGCTGTCGTGGTGGAGGTTCTGCAAATCAATAAAGGAACCAGCACATGATTACTTGCAAAAAAGGGCATTTTTAGTGTAAATACGAAGCACAGTGAATGTTGTACATTCACACAAGCCAAAACTAGCTCAGTCTAGCCCAGCCCAACCCAACCCAGTCTAGCCCAGCCCAACCCAGCCTAGCTTAGACTACCCAGCTCAACCTAATCCACCCTACTTCAACCCATTTCCACCCAGTCATACCTGGTGGGCTGTCATCATCTTCATTCTGACCCACACCCCAGTCGCCTTCTTCTATTAATGTCGCTAACAGACGCTTGTGAGCCTCTGTGTTATGAATCACATGCCTGCAGAAAAGAAATTGGAAATATGTTGAAATAACCCAACCCAATGCAATTCGCCCAATCCAACCTTACCTATAGCCAAGCCCAACAAAACCTAATTCAACCCTACCCAACCTGATCCAACTCAACATGAGTCAACCCAACCCCGGCCGAACCAACCCAACTTGACCCAACCCAGCCCAGCCCAACTCAATCTGACCCAAGCTGATTTAACCCAACCCCAACTAGCCAATCCAACCTTACCCAACCTTACCTGATCCAAACCCAACCCATCCCAACCACACCCACCCCAACCACACTCAAAAGCAGGTCTTCCTGACTCACATGATCTTTTTGTGGGGTGGCCGTAACAGCATGTGGCAAAAGACAGAAGCCAGATGTTTAGGGAAGATGTTGTTGATGGCTGACAGTTGACAGATACGACACAAATGAGCCATGATGTAGGCCAGGGTGGTGCGATGATGGTTCTCCATGTGTGCCACGCATTCCAATAATGTGTGGATGCGTAAACTCTCCTTCTGTTCCACTGTTTATGAAAAAAATCATCAACTATAATAATTAACCCTAACCCTACCTAATCCTCCCAAATCCTTTTCCGAAAAGTGGAGAATTTGGAGGATTCAGGATGTATAGCAAAAGTGCATGGCTGATTTCAAAGGATGCCATATGTGAAGGTCGTGGTTCAGACCTTACATTGTTTGTGCTTAGTCAAGCACAAATTCAGCCCGAAATTTCTTTTGAATCAACTGCACAGCTCAAGAGTGACATTCGCACTGCCTCAACATAATGAGAGGAATTGCCGGAGAATTTTGACGGTTTTGGGCAGTTAGGCACACCTCCAAATGACATTTTCAAGAAATTTTGGAGGGTTTTGGAGGATTTGGGCTGAATGCAATTTTTCTGAATTTGGAGGATTTCGGAAGATTCAGGACGGTTCTTAGTAATAAGGCATGGGGAGGTTAGGGTTAATAAGGGAATAAGACTGTACTAGGTCGGTTTTACACGTGTAAGAACGGCACAACAGATGGATGCAACTTATGAACAGGCCAAGTACATGTACATATTCATTCCCATTCATTAGTCAAGACGTCAAAACAATTAAAAATTCCAATTTCCAATGAAGTTTTTCACTGATTTTATTTCAGTTTGTTCAAACCCCTCTCTTGCCATTTTTAATGGCATGTACCTCCATGTTCTGGTGCTTGATCAGGACAAATGACAAATATTCTCATAAAAATCTCTTCAAACATGGTAAAGCACAATTTCTTCTCACTTTTTCTCAAAGAACATTTGAAAAGCATCTACAAAATGACACTAAATAGACAAGACTTACGATTGGCCGACATGAAGTTGTCGTACATTTCAAACTCTATGACAGGATTAGGCAGCTCCCGGAGGTAACATTTCAACACTCCAGTGAGACAATGGACATTGGTGACCCGGGACAGATCCACGGCGTCCGGATTCGCAGCAAGTTGGTTCCGCACCTCATTAATTTCTGCCATGGAACAGTGGAGACGGTACAAACCTTGCTGCTCCAAACCTGAAGAATTAAAAGAGAGGACATTCAATCTCTAATCCTGTGAGGCATTTCCCATTGACTTCCTGGATCCATCAAAACCCTACAGTTTCAAATGGCATACACTATACACAGAGTAAGAAGCAAAATTAAGAATTCTTGAGATTCCAACAAATGCAGATTTGTTCCAATACAGTTATCATTCAGTTCTTTCATGATGCAACATATCCATCATTCATCCTGACACAAAACACAATGGAATGATGTTGAAATCCTCTTTTTCAGCTAACTTCTGTGGGTTCTGACACAGTACACACAAGCAATTACGGCATAGTGACGTATATTTTGGAAGTTCAAATATTTTCAGAGGAAA